CAAGGTACACTTGACTTTGGTATTATGTATGAAAGGCATGTTGAGCCAAAATTGTATAGGTTCTGTGATAGTGATTGAGGAGGTAGTGTGGATGACTTGAAGAGCACATCTGGCTATACTTTTACACTAGGGACTGGTGTATTCTCTTGGGCATCTAAGAAACAGTAATTAGTTGCACTATCAACGGCAGAGGCTGAGTATGTGTCGGCTTCAATTGCAACTTCTCAAGCAGTGTGGCTGAGAAGAATTATGCAAGATTTTGGTGAGAAATAAGAATCAGCAACTCATATCCTTTGTGACAACAAGTCAGCTACTGCCATGAGCAAGAATCATGTCTGTCATGGTAAATCAAAGCATATTGGTCTAAAGCATCACTACATTAGAGGTGCTATGGAAGACAAGGAAGTGGAAGTGGTCTACTGCAAGATAGAAGATCTAGTTGCTGATATTTTCACCAAGGCATTACCAAAGGACAGATTCATCTACCTAAGAGAACTTTTGGGAGTGAAGCAGCAAAGCATTAAGAGGGAGTGTTAAAGTTAATCATTTGCTTCTGTTTTCTGTCTATTTTTTATGTCTTTTATGTAATGGTTTGGGTCCCTGATCTTTTGCCACGTGTATGGCTTAGATTTGTGTAAAATGGCTGACTGTTGTCTTTTTTAGTCGACCCATTTTCTTATCAGTCGACCTATGTGCTGAGCCATAAATATCAGAAAATCTGAATGAAAAGCTCTCTGCCTTCTTATCTCTCCCGTGCCTTGCTGCCTTCATATAAAGATTTCCATCTTTCTCATTCCTATTCATGTTTTATTAATGATGAAGATGCTCTAAAATCCAACATAGTTGTGCATGTTATTGCTAATGCAAAAATCTGAAGATGAAGGAAATATATTATTGGAGCTGCTGCTGATGATTTGTGTTTGTTGAATACTTCTACTTGCCTTTATTTTGGTTTTTAGTTTTCTTGTAAGAAATATACTGAAGTCTGTCTGATGCTATCCAAACATGTTTTTCTGAGTTTGAGTTTGAGTTCAAGTTTCGATTTCTATCTAGTATTTCTTGAGTTGTGTTTCAATCTTTTATCCTTCAAACCAGGGCACACGATGAGTAGGCGTCGTTGCTTAACCTCTATTGCAAGTTTTGAAGACGGTCGAGGAGTTGGTACCAAGTGTAGCTCAGACAGGCTTAGTGACCTTCCAGAGGAAATTGCGCATAACATCTTTTCCCTGCTCACATTTAGAGACCTGACTTACTTTGCCAGTTTATCCAAACGCTGCAGGGAAGTCTACCTGTCAACTCCGAGATTGAATTTTAGTTTGTTGGGAGTGAAGACATCCACTTGCGATGAGTGGTCTCGGCTTTTGGATTCTGTTGATAGGTTCTTGAACCTTCGTGGGCTTAACAAGTTACATCACTTGGGTATTAGATGGTCGGTTTGTTATCACCATTGTGCAGCCCCATGCTTTTGTAATAATGAGAAAGGTAGAATCATCCCATGGATCGAGAATGCTTTAAGTTGCAACGTTGAAGTACTTGATCTTAATATCAGTCTAGTGATGGGAACACTCCAATTTCCACCTTGCTTCTAATCTTAAGTACTTGGAATGGAATGGGAATACGTTCGTCAACCACCAGTCGGGGGTATTAGAGAAGGCTGAGATTTCTTTGTGGTCTGGAGCAGATACGGAGGATGGGAGGGCACTTGACTTACTTTGCAGTACACGCAGGATTAAAGCTCTTACTCTAGACGAAAATGCCATCATGGTAAAGAGACTACACTTTGGGCTAATTTTTTTCCCTTCTTTTTCTTTTTTGTTTATAAAAACTAAATATTTTGCAATTTGATCTTATTACTTCTTTCTATTTAATCCTTCTTCTTAATAAATCGCAGGCTTTGTTCAGGAAAGGTTCCGTGTCAATACCACCATTAGATGATGTTTCCTATCTGTGCCTCAATATAGGACGCTTTATTGGTAAACTAGTGTTGCCATTGGTCTCTCTACTTAGGGGAATGCCGAACTTGAATACTTTGAACATGAATTCTTCTCCATCATGCTTTCCATACCGTAAAACTGATGTAAGTAAAAGATTCTGTTTGAAAATTATAATTACTTTCTTGATATATATATATATATATATATATATATATATATATATATATATATATATAATATGTTTTGGAAATATGCAATTGATCTGCTTGTTGGCTTGACAGTGGTCAGGTTATGATATGAAATACTGGAAGTCACAAAACCTTCCTTTCATTTCTCAGCTTAAAGAGGTAACGATAGAGCTTTCTCGATTCTCCTGCGGTTCTAACCCAGTTGAGTATTCAACGTTTATCCTTGAGCATGCTCGCAACTTGGAGAAAATGGTCATTGTTCATACGCACCGCTTTGCAAAGGCGTCTCTCAAGAAGTTGAACGAAAGCAAGAAGAGTTCAAATGCTCAGGTTGTCTTTAAAGAAATGGGGAGAAGAAAGTAGAGAGGAAAAATAAACTTTTGATATTTTGCAGAAAGAATTTGTTTTATGTCAAAAAAAAATGGATATTGAATTATCGATATGTAATTTTAAATTAATATGATTCTGGGTATGGCAGTATGCAATTCGTCATGAAAGTCTATTAAGAATTTACTATGCAAGAAAATTGAAGGACCAAGGGATTAAAAGTTGAGACTAAAGTATTTCCACAAGTTTTGTCATCATAATTAGGATAACTCCTTCCTAGAAATGTCGTGTTGTGCAGTTCTCGAGTATGGGTTCAGGGTGGCCGACTGTGGAACGAGTTTGAGCCGAATACTACGAGGGTTCTTTAATAAGGACTTTCATTTCACGTCATGCGTGGTGGCCTGAAAAACATTTCTGATTCAATCCGGATTCTCTTTTTTTTTTTATTCCCTTCCATCCCCCTCCATCCATCTCCCTTCATATTTTTCATAAGTTAGACTCAATTCCGATCGTCTTCCACATATATTCACCGCGATACTTCGAGGATCTACGGGAGGTTGTGTAGATCTTTGGCCTGGGTACCACCTTTGTTGGCCCTTGTTGGTCCTCCCCATTGTTCGCCCTTGGTGGCGATGTTGCTCGCTTTCTTCCTGCAGGCTTCCTTTATTTCGTGGCAACGGTTGGTATGGTGGTCCTTGGTGGATGATGCATCCTTCTTCTACATCAAGTCTGGTGTTCCTGCAGGTGTCTTAGGCGATAGTGGTGGGCGACAGATCGTGGTGATCGTTGTAGGGTTTTCTGGTGATAGCGTTTACAGGCATAAGAGGAGTTGTACATTTGGGTTTCATTGTTGTGTTTTTTGCGTGGGTTGGGCTCTAAAGCTAGTTTTGGGGCTTGTCCTCTTGTGTTTTGTTGCATGTCTTCTCTTTTGTGCTTATCTTGTATTAGGGATTATGTTTGTACTTGTTGTGTGTTGGTATTGAAATTTATCCGTTATCACAAAAAAAAAAAAAAAATCCATATCAATTAGAAAATTCCTACTGTCAATTAATTAAAATTTGACCTTTAACTAGTGAAAGCTAATTGGTTCAAGTTTCAACTCGTGGGCACCACATAATACATGTGCAATTGACTTATCAACTAGACGACTAAGATCTCGTTTGGTAGCTATATTGACTATTTCAATCAGACATGATAAATAGTCATCGAAGAGTATTGACTAAATTAGTCGGACGTTTAGTGCAGTATTGAACTAAAAATCAACTATTAATACTGTATTTGGTACCGCACGGTATATGTAGTATTGCTAAATATCCATATTAGTTTTAAGAGAAAAATTGTTAATAAAATGAAAAAAGAAAAGAAAAATAATGATAGAATAATCCACAAAGGCACTGCCTTTAATTTGTCATTCATCTTCAGCATAAAACCCTTTTTGGTTGATCTTCTGCAGACAACATGAATCAGTTAAGGGTGTGTTTTACGACAAATCGAGGCACTGTGAAGGTGCGGCTTCAAGCGGAGACGACGGTCCAACCACGTCGGCGAGAATTGACAGAGCTTTTGGCTCTTGAAGTTTTCCAGGAATCGATGAGATCTGCTCCAGATTCCGACAAAAGGGCGGTTGCAGGTCGTTGGGTTTTAGATCCTGTTAACCAAATCTATTAGTTGGATTTCCATTGCGGTAGGAATTTAGCCAAGAAGTTGTCCATCCGTCAGTAATTTCATAGAATTTTATCGAAATTATGGAGTTCTAAAACTTAATTTGAAGGGATCTATAACTTCCCTAATAATTTAGGGCGGAGCAGAGAAAAGTAGAAGAAGAACGACGGCAGCTGAACGACGACAACAAAAATGAATCTTGTGAACGATGCGAGAGAGAGGAACGCGACGAGTAAGGGACAAAGAGGGAGAGAGTGAGCGTTGTTTCCCACCCGACTAATAATCCTGAGGTTTTAGGGAGGATAAATTAATAGGTATGTACTATATAAATCATGTGGGCCTGGTATAATTAATCTAGGTGCTATTTAGTACGGAACAACGCCAAACATTTGGGTCCATATTATTTATCATATCTAATCATTTTTACATGCTGCCAAACGAAACCTAATAAAAGTGTCATATGTCAGCATCTGAGAGCTTCATCAAACAAATCAAATCAAAACAAAAGGACTTTGATGTGATCAAATTACATCAATTAGAAATTAATTTCCTAAGGGAAGGGTCCACCAAATCCTCCCCATCAATTAATTTGGATCCTTAAAATTTGATTTTTAACGATTACAAACATAGAGCTACTTTAAAAGTTATAGTAACTTTAGTCGTTGGATCAAATTTCAAGGGCCCATATTGTTTGACAAGGAGGATTTGGTGGAAGAGATCCAGAGATGATCCTTTTCCTTACCTAAGAGTAATGATAGAGAGATTAAATGATATGGAAGTTAATGATTAAATTATTACGCTTAATTTTATTGGTAACATATCATTGATTTTGTAAATTTAATTTAACTAGCATTATCCATAAATTAAAGATTCTGATTTAATTATAAAATTCGGAGTCCGAAAGATAGAAAAAAGAGGTAAAGGGCTCGAGGAACCTAGGGATCTGACAATTTCCTTTGGAGATGCTGAAGTAAGCTTTGCATTCGCCTGATTCTACCAGTTTTTCCTGCTTCCAGAGGTAAGTAAATCTCTCTCAAGAGTTTATTCACAGACTTTGAAATCTGATACGACTTTCCCAAACTTGCAAAATTAGGGTTCCTCCTTTCTCTCGTTTCAATATATATATATACACACACACACGCACATATTCTAAGACTTGTGGTTATTATAACTAATGAAAACATATGATGATTGGTTATGACTTAAACGATTTCCGATTGGAGCTGAGCTTGCCATAACAGGTTTTGAGTTCCAGTTTCAATTCTGTCTCGTAACTCTTCAATTATGTTTTGATGGCTTATCTTGCAACTAGGGCACAGAATGAGTAAGCGGGCGGCTGCCGCAAGTTGTGAGGGTCTAGGAGTTTATACGGAGTGTACGGCTGACAGGCTTAGTAATCTTCCAGAAGGAGTTGCTCACAACATCCTTTCCTTAGTCACATTTAGAGACCTCACTCGCTTTGGCAGTTTATCCAAACGCTGCAGGGAACTCTATCTGTCAACCCCGGGATTGAATTTTAGCTTGTGGCAATTTGATGTATCCACGTGTGATGAGTGGTCAAGGTTTTCAGATTCTGTTGATAGGTTCTTCACCCTACGTGGGGATAGCAACATACATCACTTACATATTGGTATGCGGGTTTTTAATCACCGTTGTGAAACCCCTAGCATTTGTGCTGACAAGGAATGTCGAATCATCCCATGGATCAAGAATGTTGTAAGGTGCAACGTGGAACTGCTTGATCTTCATATGATTCTACCTGACGTGAAGAAGCCATTTGAATTTCCATCTTGCATCTTTCTTTGTGGATCTTTGAGGACCTTGTTGGTGCGCATACTTCATGGAACTATCAAAGCGCCCTCCTTAGCTTGTTTGTCTAATCTCGAATGCTTGAATTTGAAATATGTAACTTTAGGTCAGGATTTCTTCAATTGGATCTCATCATGCTGCAAGTGCATTAAAGAATTAAATCTTGATCGTGTTTGTGGGGAAAGAGATATCACCATTGAAAGCACATCTTTGAAATCTTTTAGTATTGTGACTAGTGAGGATAGACTTCATCAACTCAAAATCAGTGGTGAGAAACTTGAAGATATACACATAGAGTGGAGTTCAAAGTGGTGCTGGTCATTAAGTATCTTTGCTTCGAATCTTAAGTATTTGGAATGGCCTGGGAACACGGTCGTCAACGACCAGCTGGGGATATTAGAAAAGGCTGAGATTTCTTTTGCCCCTCAAGCATATGAAGCGGAAGGGAAGGCATTTGACTTACTTTGCAGCATACAACGGGTTAAAGCTCTAACGCTAGATCAAAATACCATCATGGTAAAATCATTACGCTTCAGGCTAATTGTTATCTGAAACAGAATTGAGAGTGATGGTTTTTTACTTGATTTTGGTAATAATACAACATATTACTTCTTTTTTTTGTTTAATTTTTATTTTTCAATTAACCGCAGGATTTGTTCAAGGAAGGTCATGTGTCAGTACCACCATTAGATGATGTTTCTGATTTCCGTATCAACATTGGGAGCTTTAGTGATAAACTAGTGTTGCCATTGGTTTCTCTTCTTAGGGTAATGCCTAATTTGAGTATTTGTACCTGGCGTCTACTCCGTCATGCTTTTCATACCGTAAAAATGATGTAAGTACTAGATTGTATTTGGCAATTATTATGAATTTCTTGATATGTTTTAGGAACTTTGCAATTGATCTACTTGCTGCCTTGTCTCCTTTTCAGTGTTCAGGTTTTAATACGAAGTACTGGAAGTCACAAAACCTTCCTTTTGTTTCTCAGCTTAAAGAGGTAACTGTAGAGCTTTCCCAATTTTCCTACGGGTCTAACCCAGTTGAGTTTACAAGGTTTATCCTTGAGCATGCTCGCAACTTGAAGAAAATGGTCATCGTTCATCCACCCCGCTTTGCAAAGGCGTCTCTCGACAAGTTGAAAAAAAGCGAGAAGACTTCCAATGCTCACATTGTCTTCTGCAGAAACAAGTACTGATAAGAAAGTAGACAGGAAAAAGAAGGGAATTTACTATATTTTGCATAAGAATCTGTTTATGTCAACACTTTAAATCAAAGTGTGCGTTATGTCACATTTCGGGTATTAGTATATTGTCATTCTTCAATTGAGAGCCAAATTAATGTTTTCCATTGAATTTACTGTATAAGAAAATTGAAGGACGAAGGAAATAAAACCATTCCAGATTCTATCTGGATTCTCTATTTTCTATTTCCTACACTAGTTAGAAGATTAGGGTTTCATTACTCGCCTTTTTGGGCTTTGCATCCTTGTGCGTCAAGGAATCCTAAACTTCAACTTATACTCAAATTAACTCTATAAATATATGTGTATGAGATCAATCGATCTTCTTGGCCTTATTGTGCTACTTTTGGTATTGTGGTCGTCATCCGAATCATCTCTCAGTGAGCGGAGAAGCACGTCGGAGATCTTCGAGGCGTGGATGACAAACCAGGGACGAGTTTACAAGGATGCACACGAGAAGGAGAAGCACTTCAAGTTAATTGAGAGAAGAATTTATACTACCTAGGCCTCAATGGCTTTTTGGATTTAACTGATGGAGAATTTATCTTCAGTCTCGTGGTTGTTTTCGTAAACCATGGAACAATGGAACAATGTATAATTATTCTATTAGAATGTGATTACCTTGATTGCTTGTAACTAGGTTATATTTGATTACATACAATTTTGCTTGTATCGTCGATGTTTTCTTAAAAAAAAAATTGCTATACTACAATTTTATAGTTTTGCATATACTCTTGTCTGAGAATAATATATTACCCAGATCTCTTTGCTTATTTTTTTAGCTAATTTTTATTCCATCTTAAAAATTAGGGTAATATTACAAAAACTACCTCAACTATTTGGTCATTAACAGTTTCATACCTCGTCTTTAAAAAGTTTCAATGTTATGCTTTATCTTCAAATTTGTTGCAATGTCATACATTCCGTCATTAAAACCTTAAAAAAATATTTAATATTTAATTAAATATTAACTGAATATTAAAAAATTAAAATTAGAAAAAAAAAACCGACCCACAACCCAGAAGAAGCAGAAGAAGAAGAAGAAAAAAAAATAAAAAAGCAAAAGAAAAAAAATTAAAAACCCAACCCCCCCCTCCCCAAACCCAACCCCCCCACCCCCCAAACCCAACCCCTGCAACCCATAAAGAAGAAGAAGAAGAAAAAAAAAACCCAAACCCAACCCCTGCATCCCAGAAAGAAGAAGGAGGAAGAAGATGAAGAAGAAGAAAAAAAACCCAAATCAAATCCAGTTAGTCCCTCCCTCCCCCACAAACCCAACCCCTTGCAACCCAAAAAGAAGAAGAAGGAGAAAAAAAAAAAAAAACCAAACCAAACCAAACCAAACCCAGTTCGTCCCCCCACCCTCCCCCACAAACCCAACCCCTTGCAACCCAAAAAGGAGGAAGCAAAAGAAGAAAAAGAAAAAAAGAAAAAACCCAATTCGCCCCCCCCCCCCAAAACCCCCCTCTCCTCCACCCAACTTGCAACTTGGAAGAAGAAAAAGAAGAAGAATAAGAAGATGGGTTTTTTTTTTTTTTTTTTCTGGGTTGCGGATTGGGCTCGGGTGGAGGGGGGAGGAAGATGGGAAAGATGGGTGCGCGGAGGAGGTGGAGGATGGGTTGTAGGTTGCAGATTTGGCTCTGGTTTTGGTTTTTCTTCTTCCTCCTCCTTCCTCTTCTTCTTCTTCTTCTAGGTTGCAGGGGTTGGGTTTTTTTTTGTTTTTTAATTTTAATTTTTTAATATTTAGTTAATATTTAATTAATTTTTTAATAAAAAATGGACCCTGCCTCATGCCATGTTAGTATTTAATAGAGGAACACAAATTCGAAGATAAGGTGTATGACATTGAAACTTTTTAAAGACGAGGTATAAAACTGTTAATGACGCAATAGTTGAGATAGTTTTTTATAATTTATCCTAAAAATTATGTATTGGTACTATAGTCTAGTTGTTATAGCGAATAAATCCATATCAGATTTCTATGCTTATGGAGAGCCTGTTCGAATGCATACATACAAGTGTAATTATGTGTGTGCGGCTTAGTCAAACAATCAATTAAAAAATAATAATTAAAAGAGCTTGAAATCTTTAAGTTTTAACGATAAAGATAAAATAAAGGGTAAAATGAATAGTATCATGATTGACTTTTTAGTGTAAAAATATGATTTTTCGTTAAAATAAATAGAAGTTCCCTTTAAAAAATATATGCCAAGTTAGAGAATAACTTGTATAATAAGTTACACCAAATTGGAGAATGACTTATATAATACAGTTGTACTGTCATAATAACGTTCTATATCAATAATACAAAGACATATACGAATTTATCTTTGCATATTTTTGGATTATTGACCCGAGATATGAGTATGACGTATATCCACGTCATAGAAGTTGCTGTAGCCAAATAAACTGGACCTAAGTTGGTTTTTTATATATTTATCTCGGGATTTGACCCACAATAAGTGCTCGGGTTGCCTCTGTGGATTTGACCCACAATATAAAACCCGCGGACTCAACAGAATCAACCGAACAAGACAGAATCGGTGTTAGATTGCTTCAAATTCCAACTTCCTAATTGCGATCGGAAAACCCCTTTTCTAAGCGAAATGATGGGGAAGAGCCAACCGCCGCCGCCGCAGCAGCAGCCCATGTCAGTGAAAGACACAGTGTACAAGCTCCAACTCGCTCTCCTCGAAGGCGTCAAAACCCTTGACCAACTCTACTTGGCCGGCTCAATCATCTCCCGCTCCGATTACAGCGACGTCGTCACGGAGCGCACCATAGCCGACCACTGCGGCTACCCTCTTTGCCCCAGTGCCTTGCCTCCGGAATCCTCCCACCCCCGCAAGGGCCACTATCGCATTTCACTCAAGGAGCACAAGGTCTACGACCTTCATGAGACCTACATGTACTGCTCCTCGAGCTGTCTCATCGGAAGCAAGGCTTTTGCTCAGAGTTTGAGCGAGGAGAGGTGCGATGTCCTGGATTATGGCAAGGTTGAGAAGGTCTTGAGGGCTTTTGGGGATGTGGGTTTGGACAAAGAGGAAGTGGGATTGGGGGAGACTCGGGATTTGGGAATTTCGAAGTTGAAGATCGAAGAAAAGAGCGAAGCGGAGATTGGGGATTTGGGGATTTCGAAGTTGAAGATTGAAGAAAAGAGTGAAGTGCAGTTAGGGGATGTGGGCGTGGTTGGTCCCTCTAATGCTATTGAGGGCTATGTTCCACACAATCAGCGGATATCCAAGCCATTGGGTTCGAAAAAGAACAAAAAAGGTATCTGCTTTATTGTTTTTGTTTGTGAATCTGTTATTGCTGCAACTGTATTATATTTAAGTCGAGGAGTCTATCTGATGCCTGCTCAGTTTTCTAGGATTATTTTGTTTTGTTTTTGTTGGTTGTTATTGTGTTCTGTTAGTGTTCTCTAAAGTGAGGATTGTATATTGTAGGGTCCAAAGGTAAAGAAGCGAAAACGAGTGGCGGGAAAGATATGAGCTTTAATGAGATGGATTTCATGAGTTGTATAATCGCTAGTGATGAATACAGTGTGTCCAAAATCCCACCAAGTTCTGGGGAGAATGGTTGTGAAACTAAGTTTAACGAATCAGAAGAAAAAGTCGCTCGTATTAAGAATGATTCTGAAAAGAAATCCAAACAATCAAGAGGGGGAAAAAGTAAGATTTCCGAGGAAGATATTGTTGGCATTCGAGAGGCGCCTTCAACTTCAGAGACTTCTCAAACTTTTTTGATTAGAAGTACTAAAGAAGCAAGAGAGGAATTCCCTGGTGATAAGGAGAAATCAAATGAGCCAAAGCTAAGATCCTCTCTTAAACCTTCAGGGGCAAAAAAACTTAGTCGCTCTGTCACTTGGGCTGACGAGAAGGTGGAACATAGAATGAATGGTTATGATACATTGGGCGGTATCCACAAACCTTTGCTTAAACCTTCAGCAGAAAATGAAGTCGGTTGCTCTGTTACCTGGTCTGATGAGAAGATTGATAGCACTAAGAGTAAAAATGTTTGCGAGGTTAGAGAAGTGCAAGGTGCAAAAGAGGGTTCTGGTGTATTAGGGAATTTGGAATTGCTAGATAATGAACGTTTGGAATCCGCCGAATTCTGTGCCATGGCATTGAGGCAGGCAGCAGAAGCTGTTGCATCTGGAGATTCTGATGTTAATGGTGCTGGTATGTCATTGTTTGGTTTAAATGTATGTAGTAGGTAGCATATTACATGTTGGTGGAACTTGGTTGTTTGATATTTGATGGCGTTTCTTTCCATGTGTCCTTTTCAAATATCAGTTTCGAGTGCTGGAATTATTTTATTGCCACGTCCAGATGGTGTGGATGAAGATGAGCCTACTGAGGATGTTGACATGCTTGAACCAGAACAAGCTCCTCTGCAGCAAAGAAACCCTGGAATTCCAAATTTTGATTTGTTTGACTCTGAGGATACTTGGTTTGATGATCCGCCAGAGGGTTTCAACTTAACTGTAAGATTGTAAATTTAAGGTCATTGCATATTATTTCTCTTTGGAAGTTTTGTGCTAATGATACCTTTCATGTGTTTCAGTTATCACCTTTTTTAACAATGTGGAATTCACTCTTTACATGGATAACATCATCTACACTAGCATATATATATGGGAGGGATGAAAGCTTTCATGAAGAATTTCTCTCTATTAATGGGAAAGAGTATTCCCGTAAGATTGTCTTGGTTGGTGGCCACTCTTCTGAAATCAAGAAAACTCTGGCTGAATCTCTTGCTCGGACTCTACCAGGAGTTGTTTCCCAACTTAGGCTTGCAACACCAATATCTAGTTTGGAGCAAGAAATGGTATTTATTTTGAATCTTTTGCATGTGTTGTTTGAATTCTGATGAAAATCTGATGAATGAACCTGCATTAGTGTACCCTATAGTCAAATAATTTTTCATCCTTAACTTTTTGTTTATAATTCTAGTTACATCCTCATAACCAGATTTGAAAACTTTGTATGTGATGGTTAAGTATTATGTTATAGCCCATAACAAAAACAAGACTTCAAGCCTTTTGGCTGCTTTAGGACTTTGCAGTTTCCACATGGTGCCATTGTCAGACATTTAAACTTACGCTTACTGCTTTATATACATTTCATATTGAACACTAGTTTTTTGGGAATACATGCAACTCTCCTCGCCGTTCTACTTTTAGA